TATATTATATATAATTATAATAAAGGTATAATATACTACGTAACTATATATATATTGTGTNTAGTATTATTATTATTATATATATATATATTAGTGACTAGTATATATATATATTGTGTGTGTGTGTGTGTTATATATATATATATATATATATTCATATATATATATATATATATATATATACTATGTTGATAGATAGGTAGTGAAATCGATATATATATATATATTGTAAGTGTGTGTGTGTGTGTCTGATATGTGTATTTTCTTCTGTATAGTATAGTTGCTTTGAGCTTTTGTGAACTTTTTGTTTATACCCCATTGGATTTTTCTTACTCCAAATAATGTTGTTCACTGTGCAGGAGAAGTGTGGGATCCGCACGTAGTCAAGCTCAAGCTCATTGAGATGAAGGGCGCACACGAAACGGATAGTGTGCTGGGGTACATATATGCGGATCTGTTCACGCGCAGCGGTAAAAGCGACCAACCATCGCAGTTCACAATTCGATCCGGTAGGCGTATAAGCGACACAGAGTACCAGGTAGGCTAGTGCTGTGTAGGTATGTATCTATGTATCTATATATGCATTAATGTATAAATATATATGCATCCATGTGTGCATGTACGTTTATATGTATATATGTATGTTCGTGTATATGCGTGATTGTATGTATGCATCTATGTGTGTATGGTCGTTGTTTTTTTCTTTGTATATTTGTATGTTTGTGTACATGCATATATTTATGATTGTATGTGTATGTAGGCATGCATCTATGTATAAATGTTCACAGGTATTTTTTATTCACGTCTATATGCAACTGTGTGTATATATGTATAAATATTTACATGTAAATAGTTTTGCACATTCATACGTCATTATGTGCACTAACCACGCTCACTAACAGTACATACAGACTCTTCATAGCACATGTCAACTCGCATCCACTCGAACTTTTCGTTCGTTCTCGCACTCAACAGACGCCCATAGTGGGACTCTTGTGCTCTTTGAACGCACCCTCGCGCGACACACCCACTCTACTGCAACACCATGAGCTTTCTACGCTCTTCCACGAGATGGGACATGCGGTGCACTGCATCCTGGGGAGGACACGCTTCCACCATGTGGCTGGCACGCGATGCAAAATAGACTACGTTGAGATCCCTTCGATCATGAACGAATTCTTTGTCTGGGATTACAGGTTTGTTGCTAAGTGTCTGAATTTGTTGAAGTGTTTTTGGCCGTTGTTTAAGGTGCAATTGGGCAGTCTTGGCTACTGAATATTATACCAGATTGTAAATTATGCCTACTTGCCCGTTCTATCCCATTCTCTACTACTGCTAGGGTGCTATCACGCTTCGCCAAACATCACCGCACTGGTGAAACAGTGCCTGTTGGATTACTCGAGGGTCTCAAGCGAGAAAAGCAGCTGAATGCCGCATCGGAGACACTCTCGCAAGTCCTCTATGCACTGGGCGACCAGGTAAGGGTGTGGCGCGTATAGCAGGTGAAAATAATATGCATTCATTGTCCGCTCGTGCAGCAAAGCTTGTAATTGTATGAGGTGCGTGGAGTTTCTGTTTGGTAGTTTTATGTGTTCAAAGCTTTGCGCTGGCATTTGTTTCTCGTATCTGCGGAGGACAACTATCGGTTTAATATCACACAGCCAGATGGGGGTTAAATTGTGTATCTGGAGAAGTGCTCTTTCGTCGTAGACTGATGTTTCTTTATACTTGCTCTTTGCAGGTGCTTCACAACGCAACACATCACAGTCACAACAGACCCGTCGACAGTCTGACGCACAAGGTGACGGGATACGAACATGTGGACGGTTCGGTGTGGGAGCTGTACTTTAGTCATATGTACACGTACGGAGCAAGCTACTACACCTACCTGTGGTCCAAGGCATTTGCAAATCTAATCTGGCAGGAGTGCTTCAGTGCTAATCCCCTGAGCAGAGAAGTAGGAGAACGATATAGAGATAACATGCTAGCGCCGGGAGGGGGTGGTAAGCCTTGGGTCATGGTTGAGCGTATGTTGGGCTACAAACCTACTCTGACGCATCTCGTTGAAAGTGTAGTCAAAGGGCACACACATATTTGATACATAAATTTAGCACATTCACTACAGCACGCAGCATGTGGACAATTTGAAAAATAACATTATGTTAATATGATGGTGCTGATGAAAACCCTCTGTGAGTTTGTCTTGATCGATTCTAGATAGTTGCCTGATTACGAGAAAGTTGTAATCATTCAAATTGTATATATATAATTTTTTTCAATTCAATTTCAAACTACAAATGTTGTTGGTAAACGATATAACAAGCAAGCGTTTCTTGAGGGCCGACAAGGCTTAGGTTGGGCCATTCTTGCGCACCACCGAATCCGAGTCCCCAAAAAAAATAAGTGTCCCATAAGAAGTTATCGCTAAAGTTAAAAGGGGATCGTGTTTATTAAAAATAAAGGTTTATCTCAATCAAGATACAACACGAAGTAACAATTTTGTTTTCTGTCATTAGAGAGTATCGGGTAGAATTTCAAATTCATTTAACCACCCCATAGGAACATCGCGATTTGGCATCGGAGAGAATCATTATCAAACATATTCTCAGAATATGGCACATTTGATTATTTTTCTCGTTCTAAGGCAATTTATGCACGATCACTCTGTAACTATATACACTGAACCCCCTTTAAAAGGTAACAATCTCTCCAGAAGTATACATATTGTGTACTCGGTATATTGTCAGAGCATGTAGAAATAGAAACTGGGGGAAATTTAGCCATAATTTTTATTGTTACACAACATGTATTGTTACAAAATTGCATTTTGGATAAATATAAAAATGAAAAGGCGTTCTTGTTACAAATTTGTCCCCATTTTCACTCAACACAACTCGAGTCCAATGTACTTCGTATAGTATGGTGTACCTAAGGCGGTTCCAAATTGATATTTGTTTCTGGCGAATCCCCCCCTTAAATTTTTGGCTGAGCTCTTGGCTCTTTGCACCCCATATTTTTTTTTGGTACTATCGGTGCACCAAGGCTGTTACCACGATTCATTTGTTTCAGTATGTACCCATAATAGCAATAAGTTGATAAATACACAGTACTATGTTCAAGTTTGAATGCTTACGGCATGTGTCAAATACAATGAGTCTGTTTTATAGCGGGCTCGTTTTGGCGCGTCACCATTTGCTCATATATGGAAGGTGAGAGGTCAATTCTGACCCTAGGTATGGAATAAGAGGTAAGAGCTAAGAGCCCCCCCGGATTTATGGGCATTAATTCGCCAGAAACAGATATCGATTTGGAGCCGCCAAAGCGTATAAACAGTATAAACAGTGTCCATGTTAAGATTAACATTGTACCCAAAATTGAAGTGGCGTGTTCGTATATCATCATTGTGTTGAATTTTGCAGGATACAACTGCAGTTTGAATTATATTTGACATACGAGATAATAGATGTAAACAGATTTGACGCGTGTTGGGGTAAATGTTAAACAAACTAGACTACTTGTAAGAGTATCTTTATTTATTTACTTTCGTGTATATATATGCTCCATATTCTATGTGTCATATTTGAACACTTTCCTACGGCGGAGGTGTCATCAGTATTTGTTAATGACACCTATTTGACATTTCATAATTTGTAATATTCATCGAGAAATACAAGCACTTCCTCAGTCTCCCCTTCACTACTCATGTTGTGGTGGATGTTATGGGCACGTCTGTTAGCATTAGTTGTGTCAGGCGTGAATGAGTTGGTTTGGCGGTATTCTTGGTTAAGATATCCGCCAAATTCTCTTTAGTACCTATGTAGCGGGCTTCTATTTTGCCCTATTCTTGTAAGTCTCGAATATAGTGCATGCGAATCTCTACGTGTTTCATGCGTTTCGTTGAGTCGGTTGTATCTATAATATGTATCGCGGATTCGTTGTCATAATATAGTGGCGTAGGTCCCACTTGTGGAAAGCCAAGTTCGGAAAGTAGGTTTCTCAGCCACTGGATATGTTTATCAGTCTCAGATGCCGATACATACTCAGCTTCCGACGTACTTGTGGCCACTGTACGTTGACGTTGTGAACGCCAAGCAATTGGTACCCCATTGATGCGCAGAACGAACTCACTAGTAGAGCGGTATGTATCCTTGCATCCTCCATAATCAGCATCTGTGTAGGCATCTGTGATTGGAGGACCTGGTTGATACTTATATGTGAGACCGTAGTGTGGAGTCGTTTCAAGTAACCGAGTATTCGTTTTGCTGCCGCCCAATGTGCTGCCGAGGGATTGTTGAGAAATCGTGCTAGTTGATAAAGTGGGTAAGCAATGTCTATGCGCGTGACTGTTGCTAAATACTGGAATGTACCTATGAGTTGGCTATATGCGCACGCATACATAGGGCCGCTGTTCTCAGTAAATGGTTGCTGGTAGGCTGGAGTTGGTGCTGGCTTGATGTCTTCGGCTCCAAATGTGACTAACGTTTCAGCAATGTATGCATCTTGTACTAAGCTAATCGACGAGTCAGTTGTCAACACTTGAACGTCTAATAGCCATTTTGGACCACCAAGATCCTTGCAGCTGAATTCACTGTTGAGTAGGGAATTGAACTTATCGACATCCGCCTTGCCCTTGCCGCATATATTGATGTCGTCCATGTATAATACTACGATGCAGGTGAAACCGTCCTGTTTGATACTGAAGTCTATGGTAGATTGCTGAAATCCCATGTTGAGTAACTTCGATCTAATGAGTGCATGCCATAGTCGACCTGACTGTTTCAGGCCATAGATACTCTTCTTTAGCGCCAGATTGGAATCTGCTGATAGACCGACTGATTCCGAGTCAGGTGGAGGCGTCATATAGATGGGCTTGTCAAGATCTGCATAGACTTAGGCTGTATCAACATCCATTTGTTCTATGTGCCAGTCTTGTGATGCAGCGACTGCAAGTGTTGTTCGTAATGTGTCGTGAGAACATGTCGGTGCGAACTTTGCGTCGTAGTTTATCCCCTGTGTCTGTGTAAACCCTCGTGCGCATAACCGAGATTTGTACTTATCCACTACTCCATTAATCATCTTCACCTTGAAGACCCACTTGCTCGAGACTGTGAATGCATCATCTGGTAGCTCTTCTGGTCGCAACAAGTCGTACGTGCCCGCTTTACCGAGACCGTCTAATTCTCATGTATAGATTCGCGCCATAAGTCTGCGTCTGATCCTTGTAGAGCTTGTCGATAGTCTTTGGTGTGAGAGGATGAGACTGAAGATCTGTACAAAGGGTGTAGATCTTGTGAACTGTCTCGTCATACATATGCTGCTGTGATGTCGTTGAGTTATCGTTGGGTGTGACATCGATCGGTATGTCTATATTACTGTCGTCGTCATCTGTTAGAACCCCCGTTGATTGGATGTGATTCGTGACAGATCCCTCGGCGATGCTCCTTTGTAGCGCTTGCAGTGATTTATTGGTACTGCTCTTAACGTGCTGGAGTGCTGCCCGATGAAATTGTTTCTCTGCCCTTCGCTGTTTCTTTGACCGGGTTTTGTGGTGGATAGTGTCAGAAAGCTTGCAGCGTAGTTTGACCTCTCGCTGAGACATGTCAGAGTATCTATTTTTGAACAACTCTGTGATGGTTGTCATGTTGCCAATGTTCTCTATATCTACTACCCACTTGACACGTTGTACGGTTGTGCGACTGTTGTCTAGATCCGTGTTGACTTCCGCTGAAATTGGGCTGGATGACTGCTGCTCCCCTAAAGTATTATCGAGTGCTGCGTGTGCGTCGTGCTCCCCTGAGGACTTGATTTATATGTCCTCTTCTGTTGGGTGGTGTCCTGATGGATCGTTAGCAGTGTTGAAGAATTGATTGAGACTCATTGCCTCGCTGTGTGCTGTCATTTGACGTGCTCGTTGTCTTGTGACTCGCATGTTGTTGGGCAATGTGGGCTCCTCTAAATATGTGCTTCTCGTGCGCTCATCCAAGAGTAGTCCTCTGAGTGTACGTTGTAAGTTTCGGTCTATCAAGGCGATATTAACGCCTTAGAGTAATTAAACGCTTAGGTTAAGTCTTAAGTATAATAAAATTCAATGTAAATAAACGAAATGAGTCTTTTAGTAAAGTTAGGTATGCCTCGTGAAAACAGCAATACTCTGAGGGATTGTGAGGCTGAGACATTGCCTATATATAATCCTCTCAGTACTGTTTCCGCCGAAAGGATTTTATTTAGTATTTCGTTGTCGCTCTAATAGAAACTATGGTATGTTTCGATGGGGCGAATCCGAGAGACTCATGAAATCCTATCTTTAGAAGAAGAAAAATACTCTTGATGTTTTAGGGTTTTAGGGTTTTTAGGGTTTAGTGTGTTCGTTCGACTTTACCGTGTAGGGCGGGTGATGCTGTAGGGACGTATAGTATTTTCACGTGTGCTACAGTGTTGATCTTGTTGAACTCCTCAGACACAATTTCGCCTCCTCTGTCACATTTGAGCTCGGTGAGTTTAGATAGTCGCTCTTTACCCAACCATGTGTAAAAGAGATCTAGTGCATCGCTAGAGTCGTCCTTGTGTTTGAGAGGGTGTAGATAAGTCATGCCTGAGTTGGCGTCTACGAACTTAATGTTAGAACTATATCCATTTGCAGATGTGGGTAGACCTGTCTCGAGATCTACATGGAAGACTGTGCCTACAGGAGGTTTGCTGGATTTCTCTTTGGTTTGATGAGAGATTGGGCGTCTACGCATCTTGCCCTTCACACATGGTGTACAGAATGTTGCTGGTTTAGGGTGTGCGCGAACGTCGTCATCTGCCGAAAGTAGTGTTGCTGTTGGTGGTACGGCGTGTGCTGTATTACCTACGCGTGCTATGCAAATGTACTTCCATGGTGTGTAGCCTACGGACTTTGTTCTGTCGAGTAGAACGTCTTCTGATTGCATTCAACAACTTCCACATTAGAATGTAGCTGTCGAAGCGTTTGTCTATACATTTCTCGATTGGGTGTCAAAGGAAAGACTAACGTGATGAGTCCATTCTGTCTTTCGATTTTAGCTAGTGTCTTCGTCCATGTGCTGTTAGTGAATGGTATATTACCGTAGAGGTGTTTGTGCTGTCGCCAGGACTGCTGAAATGCA